TGCTATTTCTCCATGTTGAGAGTTTGGTGTTGCACATATTGCACCTGACTATGCATTCTTATCCTTTTCTCCGATGAACTGAAAATAACAGGAGTGTGTCCATCTCACAAATGTAGAATCCGTCTCTGCAGTCATCTCAACCATCTAATTCCAGCAACAGGAAATACCCGCGGATTTTTTTCTCTAGTGCTGTTTTGCGGTGTTGGTAAATTCACCACTTAATTTTGAGTTAAAATATGTTGTTGTAACTTGCGTTACTTAGATTGTAACGAGTAATAATATTACCCAAATTTTATTAGTAATGCGTTATATTACTGCGTTACAGCAAAAAGTAATATACTACTGTAATATTATTACTTTTGTAACGCGTTACTCCCAACACTGATTACTTCACATACACTACCATTCAAAAGTTTGGGGTCAGTAAGATTTTTCACAAGTACAGTAAAAACAGTAATATTGTGAAAAATTATTACAATTTACCATTTAAAATCACTGTTTTCTATTTTAATATATTTTAAAATGTAATTTATTTCTGTGATGGCAAAGCTGAATTTTCAGCAGCCAAAACTCCAGTCTTCTGTGTCACATAATTCTTCTGAAATCATTCTAATATGTTGATTTGCTGCTCAAGTAACATTTCTTATTATTATCAATGATGAAAACAGTTGAGCTGCTTTATAATTTGTATAAACGGTGATACATTTTTCAGGATTCTTTGATTAATATAAAATTCAAAAGAATGGCATTTATTTAGAAAAAATGTCTTTACTGTCACTTTTGATCTATTTAATGCATCCTTGATAAATTACAGGTCCCACACTTTTGAATTGAAGTATAAATTGACTTGCACTTTCTACAAACATTTCAAACAATAGTATGGTACATTGCTGTTCACATATTTTGGTAAATGTAGTAGGTCACTCAGGTATTCCATGCATACAGGAAATTAACATATTGCACACCACATACATACTACAAAAACAGTACTTACAGTATGGTATATATACCATTCCAAATATGATTTTCTTACCTCTCTTGGAGTTATTAGCTCCTCATTTATTTTCTCATTTATGGAATAAATTCTGAATGAGCCCAGACCCACTGCAACGGCAGCAGCAGGAAGCGCTGCATACTTCAGAATCTGAGGATCAACACAACAGTTTAATAATACAGACTGACTTCTGTTGTTTATCGTAATACCATGATGTATACCATAAATGATTGCATATTCATATACCATAATATTTAAATGGTACTACCATGGTTCATATACAAAACATTTTTGTATGTGTTGTGTAGTTTTCTGTGAACGTCTGTAGTATAATAACTATAATAACTATCAGCTTTGGCCTGCCTGAGTGTTTTCCCAGTTTCAGCTCCTTGATTTTCCCTTAAGCACATTATCTGTATTAGTTTAATGGACTGAATCAAGAGAAGACGCTTTATAATCCCTATCCTACTACTATGAGTGACAGAAAGTGACAGAGAGAATGTCGTCTCTCAAAACCAAAACCGAGTCAGCTGCCTGACTAGAGACAGGTGCCTCAGAGCGATGTCTAGGCAACAGATTATGTTTTAAGACACAGCCAGTGAGTGATCATTAGTGTGTGTGAGAGTGAGTTTAGGAACAGCATGTTCTCCGCTCTGGTTTAACAAACACGTGCTCACACTCTGATTAACAGCTGCGTCAAGCAAATCATGAAAAATGATACTTGTCAAGATGTGTGAAACTATTCTGCAGAATGGACATATTATAAAATAATACACACGATCACTTGAATTAACTCAGTTGGAAGCGTAACTCACCTTGGCCGCCATGCCGGTGTTGTGCCGAATTCCGACTCCCTGCCGGGATCTGACTCCCCTCGCGTGCGCGCGCATGACGTCATACGATGCCGACAGTTGCGAAAACAGACAGGCGTAAGTACTAAATTAAAATTTGTGTATTGGACAGTTTGATCGTGTATTTAACTGTGTATTTGTCTTTGATCATTGCTCAGCTGCAGAGGTCCATCGGACCGGGTCACATGGTCCTGACACCACTCCGGGATACTCCCCACGTCTTTAATGGACAGAAACCTCTCCGGGAGCTCCGCGACGCTGTGGATGCTGTCTATCCTAACGTAACTGTGACTCAGCTTCGTCTCATCGTGGACTATTGACAGCTGGGACACCAGGACCCCGGTACCGCAGCGCAGCGAGCCCGTCCGGACCCACTGGCTCAGACTGTCCGCCAGCTGACACTTTATCCGCCATCGGCCGTCCGTGACCGTCAGGTCGTAGCTGTAGCTCTCAGCGGCTGGGTGCTGTACGCTCAAGTACCGGTGTTCCGCCCCCTTCGGTTTCACTACGGAAAGCGGGAGGAGTCCCGAAAGCCCTCAGAACGCGAGAGAATATTCCTGATGGGGTTCTCATAATAATAATAATAATAATAAATACCCAATTTAGGCTGTACGAGAGATAGATAGATTGTTGTTGTTATTATATAAATAATATGTTTAATAATAATAATAATAATAATAAATGCCCCAATTATGCCATAAGACAGATGAATTATTGTTATTATTATATAAATAATATGTAATAATAATGATAATAATAATAATCGAGAATCTCCATTCTCAGTTTATCTAGAATCGTGCAGGTGCAGCTCCAGTTGGTCATTTATCCACATGTAATGTAAACAAATAAATTACTTTAATTTCAGATAAAGCCTCAAAGATGTGGTCAGCTCAGTATCCAGAACATGTGGGCAACGCCCCTTATAAACGGTAACGGTAAATATATATATATATATATATTTCCGTATGTCATGTGCAGGGCTCCGTACTTGGATTTGGCAGTTTAAAAAAAAGAAAAGAAAACGTTAATGGAACACAAATACGAACACAAAAGTGGTGCCTTAAAGAGGAAAAAGAGGTGGAGAAGTTAGTCGCAAGGACATTGTGGATGAATTTGACGAAAAGAAGGCCGGAGAGTGCAACTAAATCGAGTGAGTAAAGTGTATTTAAAATTTTTATGTCTGCTGAATAGGCTATTTCTTTGGGCCTACGTGCCAATATTGTTTGGCGTGCAGTAGTTCAGTATTAACATTGCAAAGTGTTAGTGTAGCCTATTATCTAAATTATGTTGGTTTGGTGGTAAAGCTCTTGCTTTTGACAAGAAAGCCATCAAAACCCATGAAATCTTTGGTAAACCAATCAAAATTGGTATTGCATGTCAGTGGATGTATATCAGAAATGGTGCCACATACAGTTGCGTTTCAGCTTGAGATTTCACTGGACATTGGAAACATCACAAAACACAAATGCAGAGAACTCAGTTTATTAGTTTAACATTTTACAATCTGTATTATATATATATATATATTTATATATGTATTTATATTTCTGAAAGCAAAGAAGGTTAGCTTTGAATAATACTGTGAATAAATATCAGGCTCTTCCTGGTGTTTTAATATACAGAAGGGGAATTTTTGAATGAAAACCTTGAAAAAAGAGCAATATGTTCCGTCTCAATGTTGCAGTGCAACTTACACCTTATACAGCATAGCCGTGTGGGGGAGAGAGGGGGGGGGACATGCCCTTAAAACCACAGTGAAACCCCGATGGCCTGGATAACACTCACTCACACACACACACATCATGGGATGAAACACAGTGAAGTGTAACATTCTACATAAAAAGAATCATTAAAAAGGTAACTGCAATGGGCAGATGTGATTTTGAGATTCGCTTTGGTAAGAAAGCATCAACAACGGACGTAAAGTATTGTCTGTGTGTGGGTAGTGTGTGTGTTTGTTACAATGAAATTTACAATTAACAAGCCATTGAATGAGTACATTCTATTCAATTAAAATACATCCCACAAGATTCTAAAAAGTGACAAACATAACTGTAACACTGAGCACATATGCAGAGCTGTGTTTAAAACCAATGTGTCTCAATGACTTCTTAATGTGGACAAATGAGAACAACATTTAGAAAGGGGACATTTTGCACTCCACCGCCGGGAATGAACCAATTGATTTTTGTATTTTAACCTCCAAATTCTCTCCCATGTGACTTTAACCAATTCTAGAATCCTGAGTCACTGACGTCTAGAATTGCGAAAGGGAATGAAACGTTCGCTTTAGGCTTGTGGAGTCTGTCTAAGGGACACGTACATTAGCAAACAGAAACGAACAACCTGAATGTAGCCCATAGCTCAGAGGTAATGACCAACAAAGACCCGGAAACAAGCAAAAACAGTCATAACATCAGAGAAGCAAAGCTTTTCATCTTCTGTTATCCTTTTGTGTAGAAAAAAAGAGAGTAGAAAGGTTCCGCGTTCGCAGAGTCAAAAGATTGCATACACGAGTACAATTCACAGTTTTAAAAAGAGGATGCAGCTATGCAAATAATAGGTTCTTATATACAGACTGTTCTCTGGCCTGATAGCATATAGTAATACTTTTTTAAACCATGCATGAGTTTAGCTATAATATAAATATTCTAAAGAAGCCAAATTAAACATGTTACTACCTGCCAGGAGTTCATCTTTTCCCATATGCGAATGCAAATGTCATCAAACTGTCAAAAAGAGACTCTTCGGCATCCATCTGACTCGTTTTCTGTCTTACTCTCATTTCTCTAATACACACACACATACGCACACACATTCGCACATCCACGCACACACTCTCCAACACTCTTGCTTGCTTTGAGAGTTTTATAGAAGTAACACAGTAGGGCGGTGTTGCTTGGTAACAGAGTGAAGCCTGTTGCCCATGGCTACATGAGTGCTCTTCCTGCAGCATTCCGAGTTAAGGAAATCCCCAAAAAAGAGAAAGAAATTAAATTAAATTTAAACAAAATCATCAGAAGATATACAAGAAAGTTTTTTGTTTTTACTCCAATCATAGAGAAAAATAAAAGATTTCCTTTTTATATACGGTCCTATTTTGTTCAACAGGTAGTCAATTAATCTGAAAAGATGATTCTTGAAGCATGCAGTGGGCACCTCACGGGGCCTTTCTTCCATCCGTCTCAAAATGTGGCTGTGATGAAATATATTGTACAGTGTTTGCAGTGAGCTGTACATGTGCAGGTAACACTTTCGCTTCCATGACGAGCAGTTTTATTCACCTTTCGGATTCAGTGCCTGCGTGTCTGTCTGCAGTAGTTCTGGAGGCTGGGTCAGTTCTTTGACATTGATCTTACAGTGTATTGGTTCAATCTGGTGTCACTCACGGTCGGAAGGAGGGCAGTATCAGGTCATCCGTCGAGGAAAAAGTGAGGACAGTCTGGATCCACAGTGTTTTTCAAAGTGTGTGTATGCGGGTTTGAAATGCGCAATCCATGTTATTCATATACCTTTATGTCTGTATTTTAGCATGTGACTGTTTGTTAGTCGTGTGGGTGCGTGACTGTGTTTCACACGTGTGTTTCTATGAAAGAGTGAGTATGCATCATCAGCGTTGGCGAGAGAGGTGAAAGGTCGTTGGACTCGCTGGGCAGTTCCAATGGAGCAGAGCTGAACTCACAGATATCCAGGAAGAGCTCGTGGTTACGTTGCTTCCATTCACGAAACTTCCTTGAGGTCAAACAAGGGTCGTCCAGCAAATGACTGATTATTGCCAAGTCGCCCTCCTTTGCCTGTTGGTGAAGGGGAAGAGAGAGGTTGAAAATTTACTCTTAGAACTCTAGATTAATCTAAATTATTCTTTGTATTAAAAAAAAGCATTTGATTGGCTAAAGCTATTGAAATTCTTCAAGACAGTTTAACTGAAACGTCAAAAAAAACAAGTTTTAACAAATATCAGCTGCCAGGGGAGTAGCAACTAGTGTAATTGGTTTAGCTTTTACAAATAATTAATATATTTTAGGAGTTTCCCTTTGCCTTGGAAATTGCAGCCAGGTGCATAAAACAGTGGCTTAAGACCAAGCAGATGCTTTTGTCAACCGCTAGTGCATGGAAAGAATGTGAAAGGTAAGCCTTTCAGAAAGTTCAGTTAACACTACTAAACAAACATTAAGTAATTAATTAATATTCATGAGGTAAGCTAATAAGGTTTAAAACGTCATTTTTACTTTTCAGATAGTTCCTACACCCTTGATGGCAGCTGACAATGTCTTAGTCCTGCTACATTTTTATGGAGAGACTCTAGAATTGTCCATTAGAGGCGATAAATTCTAAGTTCATTTTACAGATTTGAACTTTGACCTATTCAGACTGTGATGGCATTTCTGCAATAATATTTTTTTTTCTATTTCCTTTTTTAAAAATGGTAATGTATACTACCATTCAAACACTTTGGGTTAGTGCGATTTAAAAAAAAAAAAGTTTTATTAAGCAAGGATGCATTAATTTGATCAAAATGCTGTTCTTTTTTACTGTCACTATCACAGGAATAAATTGCATTATAAAAATCCTTTAAAATAGAACAATTTTAAATGGAATAATATTTTATCAAATAAATGCAGCCTTGGTGAGCATAAGAAACTTTTAAAAACATTACAGATACCAAACTTTTGCCACAGTAGTGTACTAACACTATACTTTGTGTTACATTGCATTCATTTACAAAAACATTACTGCAATGGGGTTTATAATAGAAGTCTACCCTGTTATAGTTTACTTCCACGTTCCAAACCCAAAAGTATAAAAAAAAGTCAAGTGCTTTCTGTGTTTGCGTACCTTTAGCGTGGAGCGGAGAACCCGTATGCGGTGCAGTCGTTCATTTGTGGTGGGGTCATTGCTGCGTTTGTTGAAGGAGCGTCTGAACTCTTGTTTGGTGGAAGGCCTTTGTTGGCCAAAAGCCGAGAGACTGGCCTGCTCCAGCGATTGGTACAGCTCCTGCAGGCCATCCGTGCTGTCATACACTTTCTCTTCGCTCTCAGGTTTCCTGCTTCTAGATTTCCGAACCTGCTTTTCCTCCTCTTCTTCCTCCTCCTCATGGAGATGAGTTCTTGGCCTCAGAGTGCCGTGTGTGTGAGTGTGCGTACGAGTGCTGCGGTGCGAGTGTCCGTGTGTGTCGCGGTGGCGTGGGAGGCTCTGACTACGCTGCTTGTGAGTGTGATGGCGAGGCCGGGACTCTTCGCTGTCCGTCAACGGAAACGGCCCGTCACGTTCCAGAGGACGCCGGTGCTGGGCGGGGAGCGTGGCCTGTCGATGATGATCAGGTGGCAGCAGTGCTGGCTCCTCCTCTTCTGCGGTCTGCAGGTAGTGTAGACCTGTGCTGGTCAAGGGGGTTTCAATCAGGTCCTGCCATGAGCGGCGTTCTCGGTGGGAGGATCTGCAGGAAGAATGGGACTCCTCAGCGGAAGAATGCGAGAATGTGGAGCCACTGGAAAAATGGCGCTCAGGAAATGGACTGGACGAAGTTCCCTGAGGACAAAAGAAACACTGGTCATTATCATTGTCAGCTGTCAGGGAGAGCGACAGTCAGTTTGCTATTCGTTTACCACCAATATGGTGCTGGTGTGGGAGCCGGTGCTCAGCAAACCTCTCTGTGAGCCAAAAATTGACAAAACTGACCATGTTACGTCATATATTGCCAAAAAACAAGCATGGCAAATCAGTCTTTGTTTGCAACTTATTTTCTCATCTGAAGTAATGTAATTTAACATCTTTATGCCATCATTATGAGCTGGCTTCAATGTAATGTACACTACCGTTCAAATGTTTGAGCTTGGTAATTTTAAAAAAAATAAAATCATTAATAATAAATTAAAGAAAAATAAATACTGTATAAAACATAAAAGTTTTACTATGAAGTTGTAAATATTCTATGTAACAAATAAATTCAAAGAAATCAATTTAAAAATCATTTCAGACAGAAGGGGGGGAAATGGTTGGAATGAATAGGAATAGGAATGAGGTGATGCACTGGGTTATTAGATTTGTTCATTCTCAGAGAAGGAACCTAGATTTGTGCCATGCAGTTTTGTTTTGCACATTTGAAAAAAAAGAACATGGTCGAGACATTATCCTGACACAGGACTTCTGATTTTACTGGTTCCTGATTTGAGGTTTAAGTGGAAATTGTTAACAGACTCCAGAACCAGTATCGTGACAGTGTGGCGGTAGAAAATGGGTATGTGTGTGACTGTGTTAAAGAAAATGAAAGCGAGTGTTTTGGGCTGAATATATGCATATGTGTACTTAGACGTGAATTTATACTCACAGGGGGGTTGTGGTGGTATGTGGCTTCCTGTTTGAGTGTCATAGACCCATCAACCTCATCCTGGTCACTCTCACTCCAGTAATCTATACCAAAAAAATTGTGGTCAGAATCATGTATACATGACATCATAGTTTATTAATATGCTTTTCAACAGCTTACAGTACAATGGAGTGGTGTAAAACTAGAGTCAGTGAGATCACAGCACAATGGGCTTATGATATCATCACAGGATGTGATCTCACCTTCATCAGGACGTGGTACCGGATCATCAGGCGTGTAGCCAATCGCAGCCAAGCCTAAACGATTCATCCACCTGAAACAAGAAACATAGATGTGAGAGGAAATTACAGGGTGGGGAGCTGCTGTCTGAAGGGGCTCTGAAACGGCTTACCTGTTCATCTCCTCTAAATGATCTGTAGCAAAAAAGAAACTCTTAATTTTAGGATGACATGCTTTGAAGGCACTGAAACAAAAAAGACAAAGAAAAAGAGATGTTCAGACACAAATATCTAGTTTACACTCTGTGTGTCTGTGTGTGTGTGTGAGAGAGAGAGAGAGAGAGAGTGTGTGTGTGTGTGTGTGTGTGTGTTTGTAAAAGAAAGATCAGCAGTTCTGCAGTGACCCAGATTCCACTAGCCGATACACAGACCCACCCAAAAACCAGCAAACCCAACACAGTAGAGAGAAAGAGTTATTATTGTTGTCTTCTGACACTCACTGTTTCCTCCTGCATTCAATCGCTCTGTCTATCCGAAACTCTGGCAAACTGATGAAGCCCTCTGCTTTCTCATCCTGAGCAAAGAAATAAAGAACAAGATAAATCATGTCCACATCATAACTACAGCAGTTACATTATAGTATAAATGCACAGATGTGCTTTTCACCATCTCTAAAACTAAGAAATGAACATGTGATGGGACATTTTAATGTGGAAAACTTAGAAAACTAAACCTCACTCTCAGGTTCGTGAGCTTGTGACCAGGCCATCAATGAAGGCAGCATGTAATGAAAGTGCTGATAATTGTGTAATTAGTAATAATAGTAGAGATTAACAAGCTGGATGTGGAACTGTTGAGCTGTTTCAGATACCAGAAATATTTCAAGTAGAAATGGGTAAAAGATGGACTCTACACGCTTTCATATAGCCGTACATACAACCCAAGAGAAGGGAATTGTGTTTGTTTGCTTACGTTCTGATTGGTGTACCAGTACAGGTTGGAGTCTTTGAGAACGAACCAGTACTTTTTCCATTTCTGCGTGAAGTAGCCAGTGGCGTCTTTCTTTTTCCATAGCCAGCCTTCACAGTCACCATGACCCAGATCTTTGCAGGCAATACGCCTCCTGCTGGCACTACTGAGGGACCCTACACACACACACACACACAAACACACATAGCATATTAAACGACAGAATAACATTATGATAAATGATCACAGTTTATATTCTTCTTGACAATTACAACACACTGCAACACAACACTCAACCATGCACTCAAGGTAAACCCAGGCGCTTGTATGCATCTTATCATTGTACCTTTGCTCTTTTTCTTGGGCTTGGTCCTCAGAGAGGCATAATGTACAGACTAGAGAGAGAAGAAGGACACATAAGGAAGAAAGAATTGCTTGCATCATTCTCATAAACCAAATCTGTGAGGATTTCTATCTCGAAAGAATCTTTATGAAATTCTATAACCAACAAACGATCCCTCTTTACATACTGTATATCATAATTATTAATATAATCAACAATAAATATAGAAATATAACCGATAATATCATAAATATAAAAAAACTAAAACATATGTTGATCCTAATATTGAAAAATGTACTTTAATTGTATGAAGTCCAAACCTGAATAATATCATCAAAAAACTGTTCATTAACTAATTTTTATCTACAGCAACACTGTTTTTGTTGCCATATTGCAAATAAAAATTCTCCAATCAATAAAGACTTTCTCCTGCAAAATAAAATAAAATAATAATAAAATAAAATCTACTGAAAATTGTATTTGTAGCACTTGTTCCCAACACTATGTATTCTCATTACCACTACTGATGCTGTAACTGTGCTTGTGGTTTACCTTCCTCATTGATGCCCCTGCTTGTCGGTCAAGTCCTGAACTGGCATATCTGTAGAGAGAGAATGAGAGAGAAAGAAAGAAACAACAGGAGAAAGACAATGAGACAGTCAGACAAGAAGAGAGTAAGTTCCGTTTTCAATAACATTTAAATTATGTGGTCATTAGAACTGCCTGAGCATAGCAGTGTAATTTATGAATCCACCTGCAGCAAGAATAAAGAAATATTAATAAATATTAATATTAATATTATTAAAATATTAATTTCTTGCCTATTTAACTCAAACAAAGGCACAGGTAGTGGACAGGATGCTGATGTTTGAGGTTAACTTCATAACTTATTCTAACTGAAACCGCCCTAGCACAGCTGCTCATGCTCATACATACCCTCAAACACACACACACACACACACACACAATATTTTTAAATAGTACTAAGGACTATAACTAAACCTCAGCCATCCAGACAATGCTCTTTTATCTAATTCTCTATATGCATCGTAACGGCAGAGAAATAGAGATCGTTCCACAGCATCAGACTCCACAGACTCTTACAGCTCAGTCACAGAGGAAATAAAAACCTCCTTAAAACTGCAGCCAAGGAATTTCTGTTCCTTATTTTTAAAGAAACAGCAGTTCATTAAGATTGTCACTGTGGTGACTGTTGTGTGCTCAAACAAAAGTGTGAGCAGCATCTTGTTCGTCTGTAAATCAACAAACATAAAACTCTTTGAATGCTGATTTTGAACAAGTTCAAAGCCTTTATGTTTAAAGAGGTCATATATGGAATCAAACTCTCCTTCATCTTTTGGCATGGATTGTAGTACTAAGACGGCATGCTGTCACTTTAAGAACTCAAAACTTGCTCACCAGTCCAAAAAAAAAAAGTTAAACGGTTATTGATTATTAGTCTCCAAAAACATCTAATTCTTAGATGCTTGGGTTTATGATGTAAAAAAAAAAAAAACTTACAATAGACATATAACCAGCCACATAGATGTTGTACTTCCTTTGTCAACTGAAAAAGTTCAACCTTCCTCAGGCACAGGTGACAGTTTTACTTTTCTGTGCACTTCTATATCTGTCTGGTTTGGGTCAGCCAGCAAATCAGATATAAGAAGACTGCAGCGGACTGTTAGGACAGCTTGAAAGGATAACTGGTGTGCACCTGCCCAGCCTTCAGGACTTGTACAACTCCAGAGTGAAGAAACGGACAGGTTACATCATCATAGACCCCTCTCACCCCGGCCACAACCTGTTTGCACTTCTCCCCTCAGGCAGACGCTACAGATCTCTGTGCACTAGAACATCTAGGCATAAAAACAGTTTTTCCCTCATGCCATCTCCATCTTAAAAAGCTAACCCAGAAATGACCACCTGTCTTCTGTAATTCATTTCGTAATAATTATTGCCTTTCTCTCAAGTATATGTAAATACATATTTTTATTTATACATCTGTATTTACAGTAAATAATGTACAAATCTGTACATAAATCTTCTGTTCCAGATGTATACCACATTTTTATAATTAGCTCCTAAAAATAAATAATAATTATTATTATTAGCTCCTAAAAAAACACAACTAATTCCTTGTGTGTTTGCACACACATGGCGAATAAAGCTCATTCTGATTCTGATTTACACATCAATGACATCAACTCTGTGCTCAGAATCTTGGCCAGTCCATTCACAGTCAGGCGGAAGCAGAATTGATACTGTTAATCCTAACACCAGAAGCTCTAATGATAAAAATAAAATATGGGGAAATCCAGCAAACCTTGTGCTTTGTTAGAGCACCTACACATCTGGCCATGTGTAGCACCTGCCGCCATGGAAACCTTTCTGAATAAGCTCAGTGATGGGAATCAGAGGCTGAAAGTTATTCAGTTCGAGTTAAACCATTTGAGTGACATATGGCAGGGCAGATTATGATATATTATTGAGGACAAAGCCTTTTTAGCTGTAATCTTTACTCTTTGTGCTAACAAGTCAACCCCAGGGGATAATAATTAAATAATACAAACAAATATGATAAATTAAGGAAGGTATGAATTTTACTTACCTATCAGCATCTGCTCGAAGTGTGTCTGCAGCTCTCTGGGGCAAGGAACAGAATGACAAAGAGAGACGGAGAGAAAGACAGATTTGAATTTCCTGTTCTGTGTTATGAAAAGAAACTACTGTTCCAAAGACGTGTGAGAGTGTGTGTGTGTGTATACAATCACGTGATCAAATGTTGTATTAATAATTAGTATGTCACTAGATGAGGCAGTTTTAAAAAAAATTATTAAACCAATGTAAATGTCAGAATGTTTGATATGCTTCTAAGTTAAAGCACTAATATTTAAAGACCAAACCAATGTTGACCGACATCAAACCATCCAATTATACAATTGTGTGAGAACAGCCATAGCTCAGATCAGATTCAACATTTCCCTTACATGGTAGTGTGGCATTGTGTTAGAGTCGGGCACGGGGAAAGGCAGCCCCTCGGGGGGACCTGTGTCCAGACGCACAGGCGGGGCAAGCATAGAGGGACTAATGGGAAAACTGGGACTGCTGGGATTTCGGCTCTTCTTCCTGGATCGCCTGCTCGTGTCACGCTGGGAAAACTCTGCCTCTTCCTGGATCAACAAAATCCTGTCATCACTGAGGAACCGCAAGAGGGAGGAATCCGAATCTGATGGGGAATGACAGAAACCAAGCAGTGAGTCACATTCTGAGCGAAAAAACATTATAATGGGAACGTGTAGCAGAAAATTAGGGTATTGCTAAATATTCAACTCTTCATGACTCCAGCTGCCACAGCATGAAGCTGCTCTGACACCTTCCTGTGTGTGTGAGGTTTTAGAGGTTTATTTCCCCTCAAGGAGGTTTGCTTTCTATTTATATCTGTGCCAATGTCACCTACGCATTCTCTGTTCTATTCTTAGAGTTGTGTTTCCCCACAAAAAAGAAAGGAAGTAATAAATTAGTCATTTTACATGTTTACACATCACCTTTCACATCCCAAAAACCAGAAAGTAAAGTTGGTTACTGTCATTGACAACGTTCTGTTTTTCACACATCGAGTTAGAACCTTAAGATAAACTAGATTAGCACTCACACATTAAGAACTGTTAGTAAAGATGAAAAATATCAGCTAAAATTAGATTTCAGCTGAAAGTTACTAATTAGAGATTAGTTAGGCCTACTAATTAAATATAGAGTTTACATATAATTTTTGGGGTGAAACCTTTTTATTATTATTATTATGTGAAGGTGCTAATCTACATTAATGGACTGTTGTAAGTTTCAAGCAGCAGCATAAAAAAATTAATTTCAAACAGAGAGAACCCTCTAATATGGTCAAACTGTTCTGTAATTGTTGTTTTTTTTAATTATTATTTTTTAAACAAAATATTTTTCTAATTAAAATACATTCAGAAAAAAGTTACACTGTACTGAACAACCAAAGGCAGCTGTAATGTTTGTTTGCAGTTCCTCCAGCTTTCTGAATCTTAGGTGGCTTCTTCAAAGAAATTTGTCCCTTTGCTACCCTCAACTTTGACAGATAAGCCTATGTAACGGTATTTCCTGCTTTTGGTTGCAGAGTTCACTAGAACAAAGTCACCACCTTACAGCTTTGTATTCTCTGTTCTGACGCTCTGAAATGTCAGTTCTATAGTTCTGTGACATTTACGTTTTTCACAGATGCTTGTGAAATCAACTTACACTACAGTAGTATTTCACACTAATGGCAAATGCCGGGATATGCAACTATGCCAGATGATGCCGATTAACTAAGTTGTAGTTAACAAGAAGCAGCTCCTAACACATTCATGTATTAACAAGCACATGTTTGGCATCATATAATATTTGATTTTTTTATAGTCACAGATCTCTGACTACAATGGGAAATTCCTGAATATATGGCAAGAAAATTGTGTAGCTATATTTCCATAGAAATATGAGTGGGAAACCTACCCCTCTCTTTCCTATTGATACCATAGGCATTAGAGATGGAGCATTTATGTTAGCCTAACATTACTGACACTGAGCTCTGAACTAAAATCCTCACAGAGGTCAACAGGATAATTTTTTAAAAATCAGAACCGTTAATGGCATTTTTGAGTAAACCACTTTTAATTTCCTTGCTAAAACTAGAATTCTCTATTCTTTTTCTATTCTATCTTCTTGCTTTCTTTTTATTTATTTATTTTTTTTAAATAAAAAAAACTTGCTACATGTACTGCATTAGGCTAACCAAGACTTGTCACAGCACTTACATATTATTGCCCTTTTGTTGGTTTTGATTGCTTCTATTGTCCTCATTTGTAAGTCGCTTTGGATAAAAGCGTCTGCTAAATGAATGTAAATGTAAATAATGAAAAAAAAAAGTCACATTAATGAAAAGCTATAATGTAACGATTAAAAGTTGCAAAGTTTTAAAGTACAATTTGGTGCCAGTGGAGTAAAAAGTAGTAAAATAGTAGTAAAATCATCACCTCTGCTACCTCTTTTGTAAACTCCAGATTCTTGAGGCTCTGCCAGCCAGTCAGTTCCCATGGAAACCTGTCGGATGTCATCTACAGGCAGAGACATACAACATTTAAGTGTGTATCTGTGTGTGTACTGGTGTATTTCAGAGCATCTTTCATCTATTCTCTCGGTGTGTGTTAGTGCACGTAGTAGTGCAACTGCAACATACTAAATAGCTGAGATTTGCAGTTTAAAGCCGGAGCTCCCTAGTGGCTTAATCTCCTGTAATGCACTGCGTCTATGTCCGGCTTAAAAAATGGCCATCCAGACATGATGTAAAATGTACGCTGTGTAACTTCGCATAAGCATACAATGGTTTATTTAATAATATATGAAACAGTGCACAGTTTCCAACAATACATTTTATGGTTAGAAACTGTGCACTGTTTCATATATTATTTAAAACAAATAATGCAGTATTCTGTATGTAGTGTATAGAGACAGTATGCACCATAATAGTATGTTGTTCTGAATTGAAAGTACCTTATGTATATGAATTAGGACAGTAACAAGTTAATTTAGAAACGGATAATAATATTTACTGACCAATCATTTAAATTCAAACTGTAATACAGCAATCAAAATCATCAAGTCCAGACACAATAATGTTTTTAATTAAAACCAGCATAAATTCATTCAGTACAAACAAATAAACAAATACTTTTCACTTGCACTGTGGACTTTTTTGAACTATGTCTTTGATATAATATAATAGTACTAGTATAATATATATATATATATATTCACATTTAGTTGCTTTGCAGCCTGAAATGAAGATGGACACAGATTTTGTTTTATCCAGCTGTATTTACAGCTGTGAAACTTATAACATCTTAGTGAAACATAAAACACCAACATGTCATAAAAATAATAATCAACTTCTTGATTATTTTAAAGGGGGGTGATTATTTTCTATACCCACTCTGTGTGTGTAAATTATTATTATTATTTTATATCAACTACAAATTAAAACAAACACTCTCTCTAAATCTGGTGCATTTTACATTAGTTTTATGTATTATTAATGTGTACTGTACATGATTAAATAAATGGAAAATAAATGGAACTTTACACTAAAGAGAACTGTGGGTCGGGTGTGTGCTTAATTTTTATTTTTTTTTACAACAATATACATTTTTTAACAAGTAAAGGTTTAAATTAACCATAATCAAAATTTGAAAATCTGTTTACCTGTCAATATTCATTCATCTATTTGCATATTTGTAATATCCAATTGGATCTTCTTACTGTGAGTTGGGGTCCGGTCTCTGCGTCGCAGCCCGGTATTTCTCCCAGAATCCTCTTCAAGGAGGGGGAAGTACTGACCCCCCATTATCTCCTGTTCTACATAATACCCCGGAGAATCCGAGCCAAACACACCAAATCCACCCCGATCCAGATCTTCCTCTCTAAATGAACAAGAGCCAAAGAAAGAAACTACAATTACACCAACATGCTGAAAGAAACTAACCGTTTTGAGTACATCCTGTATTTCATTTGTGAATACCTGTGTCCGTAGACAGGGGAAAGAATAAAAACATCATGTCCCCCAGGTGTGTCGACTCCAGGTGAGAGGCCCACTGACCCGAGCGTGCTGGGTGGGGTGGGAGAACCACTGCATGGACTGGTGGACAGCGGCTGTCAATCAAAAACATGCACAAAATAGCCTCAGTATAAAGCTAATGACACTTTTTTGTTATTACATTAATGTAAGGGAAAAGAGTTACACGAAAATCCACTATTAAAACATACAAACATGAGACAGAACATCCAATATTTCTCATGATGGCTTATGTAAGTATTCAGGCAAAAATATATTTTCAAATGTAGTCACGAACAGTATGTTAGTCTTGTGCAGTTAGTTTCACTAGGGGGCAGGGCAGTGATCGGTCACACACACACACACGTCTAAAGATCTTTAACTAATAGAGGACCAAGAGTGTGTTTCAAAAACGAAGATAGTGTTGCCCTTAGCAACCATGAGTACTGCATCAGTCAGTTAGCAATGAGGAAAAGCATAGCAACAAGCAGCAGAGAGCAACCCGGCAACAAGAGGAAAGAGAAACGTACATAAAAACGCTGATCGATTTATCATTATCAGTTATAAGTGGGCATTGTTTTATTGCATGTAAACATATAAGTACAAATATGTCCTTTTATTCTTTAGTCATTTTCAGCCAGTCATTTATAGTGCCGTCTCCATTCAGTAATTCACAGGTGTATATCCACTCTTTAACTGTTTATTTATTCATTCAGAAAGGATTTAAAATCCTGTTTCACCACAAGTTTATCTGTAATTGTCAATAAGCATTATGTCCTTCAAATCACCAATGTGGATTCATTCATGAGTGAAGGTCCACTCCGCTCCAGTGTGTCGTGACTGTGAGGAGAGGACACATGTGCAAGCTTTAACTGCATCTGTCTGATACTTGTATCCAGAGCAACCACAGAACTCTGGCTGCCATGGCAACAAGCCGTACGGAACACATTCACTGCTCTGAGATATACTCATACACACACACACACTCACAAACACTACATATTAAATGGATACACTTGAACAAACACATTGAACTATTCTGACACACAGAAACACACACACACACACCTGCAGGGCAAGTGGTTTCCAGCGGGCGTTCTTCAGCAGTGCAGGGGTGGAGCCCAGAGTGTTCTGTGGCCTCTTCTTCAGCGTGAGGATGACTCCACTTGGATCCTCACGGAGACAGTTAACCAAATTCTTCAACTGCCAGCCCACCTGAAAGATAGAGATCATTTAAAAATATAAATACAAAATAAATAAACAATGTTAAATGTTAACATTTACATTTAGAGTAAAGACAAATGCTGGATGTGGATGTGATCAGTGAAAAAAAAATGGAGCCCCGCACATAACAGATTAAGAATTTGTTCCCTCGTTTTATTAATTTGTTCCCTCATTTTAGTTAATCGGGGTCACGTTGTGCTAATTTGTTCCCTAGTTTTGGGAACAAATTAGTACAACAGGGCCACGTTTTACTAAAACGAGGGAACCAATAATTCTTAATTCGTAGCAGCGAATTCTTTTGACTACAATAAATAATATTTTTGTCTGCATGTCATGTGCAGGGCTCTGTAGAAAACATTATTAGAAAGCAAAAAATATTTATGGCCCTAAAAAGTACAATTGCTTATAAAGAAATTTGACATTTCAGACATGTCCTTGACAGGCTTCATGAGATCCACCTGAAAACCCTTGAGCATCAAATGTTAATTAATCATACCTGTTCAAACATTACTGCACATTTTCTAGGATGCAAGCTCAAAACAGATGTCAGCCTAACCCACGCAATGATACACACCACTGTTTGGTGATTGACCTGAATGACCTCATCACCGGCGTGGATCTTCTTACACTGATCTGCAGGAGACTGCAAGAGAGAGATTGAGAGATTAACAACCCCTGTTCATTATAGAGATAAATCTGACACCAGGCATTTCTGTGTTGCATTATATTATCATACATACCTAAATATTGACCTTCCCTATGAAGAATGTTTCATCAAAATCTCACTCATCTGGGCTGCGTTTCCCATTTGCACTGTAAGCCTAAGTAGATCATAGAGAGCATTGGTGCCAATGGTTTCTACAATCTATTTAGGCTTACAATGCTTTTGGGAGATGCAGCTCTGTTCGTTTTCTCTCTCTGTATACTAATAGCTAAAAGTTTATTTTAAATAATTTTTTCATAACCTGTTCAAACTTAGTAAGCAGTCATCTAGATCAGTGGTTTTCAACCTGTGGGCCGCGACGGTATTGCAGGGGGGCCGCCAATTACTATTAAAAGAAATCATAATATTGTTAATATATGTCAAAATGTCTAAGTCATAACATAATATCATAATTTCATATATATAATTAAATAACAAAAAATAAATATTAAACTGTTACTTTGCTTCCACTATTCGAGCTCGCTGATTGGTTTAAGAATAAACCGCCAATTCTAAAATATTTTTGCTGCATATGCTACAGAACAACAGATTCAAACATGGATAAATGGCTGTCAACAGGGTCGCTGAAAAGAACAAATGCAGATGTTTCTCCATCTACAAGTAAGCCTGACACTGAAAAGACTCAAAATAAATCTAAAAGAAAATTCAGTAGTGACTATCTAGCGCTAGGCTTCACATGTGTGGGAGCGGAGAACAAGCAGCTTCCGCTCTGCGTTGTTTGCTCAGAAGTCTTATCAAATTAAGCTTTGAAACCGAGCAAACTACGACGGCACTTGGAGACTAAACACAGTGAATATGTGTCCAAGCCTATTGAGTTTTTTGAGAACAAACTGAAGAGTACCAAAGCAGGAAAAAAACTATTGAAACTGCGTTCTCTGGCAACGACAACAGTAAAGCAGTGGAGGCATCTTATCGTGTAGCAAAGCTCATCGCAAAGGCTGGAAAACCTCACACAATTGGTGAAAATTTGATTTTACCTGCCGCAAAAGAAATGGTTGGCGTGATGTGTGGAGAAAAGGCCTGCAAGCAGTTAAATCTGATTTCACATTCAGATAATACAGTTGAGAGAAGAATAAATGAAATGGCAGATGACATAACTCAGAAGTTGGTTAAAAACATTCGATAGAGTCCCTTTTATGCCCTACAGTTGGATGAATCGACCGATATAGCAAACCTTTCCAACCTCATTGCTTATGTACGGTATGTACATAACGGAGAATTACAAGAGGATTTCCTTTTCTGTAAGTCGCTGCCGACTCAATCAACTGCCGAAGCCATATTTGATATTTTGAATGCATTTATTGTTCATTGCCAGTTCATTCAATAAAGACAGTTAACGATCTAGCTTCTGAGTACTTCCGTTATTAACCCAACAAATAGCGGGGTCAGTTCATTTTTTTGCAGTGGGCCGCGGAAACATATGTGTTTGGTTGTGTGGGCCGCGAGTTGAAAAAGATTGGGAACCACGGATCTAGATGATGCTTCTATGCATTAGCGACTTGCAGTACAATTCTTGCAGTGACAGTCTGCCTGGAGCGACCTTAGATTAAATGTCTTTCTCAAGGGTACAACGGTTGACATTTTCAAACCTTTTGGGGTTGGAACAATTTTTCCCAAATTTAACCACTAAACCATGCCACACCAGTCCAGAATATTAATCAGAAGATTTTGCATTTGCTCTGATGTGTGGTTCTGTAAGCTTGATGTGGAAGATCATAAATTAGCCGAACAGTAAATGTGCGTTAAGAGTGATAAATCAGTGAGTTCTGTTCTTTCAGAAACTAAAAAAGGCATGTAGCTTGAGTCCAACCTAATTCTACACGTACATAAATGATTTAACAACAGCACTGGAACAATCCACCATTCAAAGCCTCACTCTACCCATCTCTGAAATCAAGTGCCTGCTCTATGTGGATGACCTGGTTCTGCTGTCCCCACAGAAGAGCTGCAGCACAGCATGTGCTTTATAGAGCAGCACTGCCTGAAATGGGCACTGACAATCTGAAGGAAACCAGAGCTGGTTTTCCTATATGGATAAGAAGTCCTATCGCACAGCATCACAAATGATGATCTTAAAATTGACATGAACACTTACAGGAGGTTTAATCTAGATGTAGAAGAACTCAGATGGTGCTTTATATTATAAAATTATGATTGGAGACACAACAGCCATGATCAAATTATTTTATTTATTCATAACATCACTTCTCCATGTGATGTGCAGTATATCAACTGTAAATGTCACACACTGGCATAAAGCATAAAAACTTAGTGGGAAACTAGTGTTGTTATTGTTAACTGAAACTATCAATATAATTTTCAGTAATTGAAATAAAGCTGAAATTAAATAAATTGTAAATATTAGATGAAAAACTTAAACTTTATGAAAAATTTGAAATGTTGCCTTGGCAGATAACTGAAATATGTTTAAGTACTGCAATTACTAAAACTGAAATAAAAAATAGCTAAATAGAAATAATAATAAAAAAAACTAATAAAATGGCAAGAGTACATAATAACATCATTAAAACCTAAATGTAAACTAAAAATATTGAAATAAAAGCTATTTAAAAATATTAATAAATACTATAACAGTATATAAATTATACTAAATTAGTGTGACAAAATGGTTGAAAAAGTGTGACTGTTTAAGGTACTTTACGTAATTTCAGATGTTTTGCTAACTTTTGCTAGATGTAGACACTGAATCTATCTTAAACACATAAACAGAGGTGACTTTCCCAGAGAGGGTCAGATTTTTTATTTATTTTTTGCTGTTTTCAAACCCTAGGGTTGTCACAGACTCAGGTGTGATTTCTTAAGATACTTGTTTCAGTGCTATCTTTCAGGTAGAAGTGATATTTTATGCATTTTACCAATGACAGCACCAAATCTTTTGATTCACTGTGACACCTCATGTCCTGCTTAAACCCTAAACCTGTAAGGCTGATAATACATGGGGCAACGTTTTGAGCAATGTTGCTGGGCATTGTTACCGTCAACGGGCAATCAGGTGAGACACACGACCGATCTAATGTATCCAGATAGAGATTTGTTGCCCAATCACTTTCATGGGAAAGTGCCCAAGCAACATTGCTCAAAAAAGTTGCCCTGTGTATCATCACCTTAAGACAATCCTGAGAACGGGAGACAGTTGCAGTCTAATGGCTTGCCAAATGACAAGTTCAAATTACCATCCTGGCATTCCCAGGTGGGGCTCTCCAAAAATTGTGGGAAGAAGTGAGGTCAGAAGCTGTTTGTATTGGTGGAATTAATATGAACAAGCTCCTCTCAAACATTTATTAGGACCCTCACTATAAGACAGCTCTGAACTCACATTCTCTGTGGTTCCAGTGATCACATGAAGGCCATCATATGTGGACTTGATGTACATGCCCTAAAAAGAGGAAAGAGGCAGTTGTCAATCATAAAATCAATCAATCATATAGTACATCACAACTAGATTAATACAGATTTTTCAAATGGTGCTGAAGTGTGTAATGTCTGTTACTAAATGGAACTGCAAAAACAGTGATCGTTTTCAAAGTGGTTTCCCTGTCTACCATTAGTCACACAAACAGATAGTCCCATCCCAAACTCCCACCATTGGTTGAGTCAGTGTTGCTAATGTGTGCATTCGGAAATATCTTAATTACAAGTTCCAAGCACATGAATGACCAAGTCGTATTTGTAATTGGGAAATTGTGAATTCTAGATGTAAAACATGGTGGAAACACTGATCTATCATAGATAATGTGTCTATAATCTATATATAGAGATCAGTATGGAAGAAAAATAATGCCATATGTCCTTGAAACAAAAAAGCACGTTGAATAGCACTAACTGAAAAAAGAATGCATTGCATTAACAGTGCTTGCATTTTAATGCCTTGTATTTCCAGGGCTTGCATTTTTAGGTCCTGAAATTTAACATAGTTGTTTATTTAAGCAATATTTTAATTCAAAATATTTCACACACATTTTCATAATTAAAAATTCAATCATTCATATTCACCTTCTAGAATTCACTTCCAAAATATTAAATCCATTTAAAAATACGATGTATAATATTCGACAGGCAAATTTCAGTCCATTTTATTTCACTTTCCAAATTCGCTTCCACAAATTCAGTGGTTAAAATTCGACAGAAAATTCGGCATTGCGCATCCGGGAGCTGCAGGAATAGCAGTAGAGCACCAATGCATGATCTCATGTTTAATTCAACATCTTCGCTGTTTCCCGTAGCCTGCATGTAAGCAGCTTTCTCTACCACAAAGAAGATTATAATGCTATTTTACCCAGCGCTGAAGTACAGAACTAACATTACATCTGAGGAAGACATATATTGCTTTCGGTTGCTTAGTTTCCTTTACTTGTATCATGGCTTGTGTGACGCTGTGCTGTAATACTGTGGTTACCCTCATACGTCACACTCCAGGTTTCCCCAACGACACGTAACGCGCCTCAATGAACTAATACAGTGATCTCAGATCTCAGAATATGCTTTATTGATGATTATGCGAACTATATACAGGCAAGCAAATGAGGTCAGAAGAACGCAATGCGCTGCATATTCTTTATAATTGTTTTCCCTTACTACTGATCTATAGAGTCAATAGTCCTGCAAAGATATCAATACCACAATTAGTTTTAACAATATGCAACCACTTTATATTGACATAAAAATAGGAGTTCAAAACCACCTAGGTATATTGTTGCTGCAAATTTAAACCGGAGAAAGCATTGATGCGCTATCGCACCCATGGGACCGTCTGACAATTTCACCGACTGGGTTAAAACGTCCAATGTATTTTAATTAAATTGACATTTAACATTTAAAATAACATACTGTCAAATTGTAAAGCTCGTATTGCTCATAGTGATTTACTACAGGTGAGATTTTGCCAATACCTCCCTTCATATATGTACAGTACACAATTATTTACACATAAAAGATCCCTGGAAAGTATTTATTCATGTTCCAACGGTTGTAGTACATTGCTAGATACAAGACTAGCTTACTACAGGTTAGATTTTACCAATATCTCCCTTACAGTATGTACAGTACACAAATATATATTTTTTAAATTACAGTAATTCACCAGAAGTTTTTTTTTCATGTTCCACAGGTTGTAGTATGTTGCTAGTTACAAGACTGACTTACTTAATGTGAAATTTTGCCAATATCTCCCTTACTGTATGTACCATTCACAATTATTTAAAACAAAAAATCTGTAAGACCCCAAAAGGGATGTTTCATGTTCCAAAGGTTGTAGTATAAAATATTGATGTACTTTATGTACAGTAAGGGAGGCAAAAAAAAAATTATTAGCAAAATTTCACCTATAATACATCAGTCTAGTCACTTGGAATGTACTACAACCTTTGGAACATAAAAAAAATCTTTATATGAATTAGTCATTTCTTAAGAATAATTATATACTGTATATTACAGTGAGGAAGATATTGGCAAAATTTCAACTGTAGTAAGTCAGTCTGGTCACTAGTTACATACTAGTAACACAATATTTGGAACACTAAAAACCCACATTTTGTTGAATTACTGTATTTTTTTTCTTAAAAAATATTTGTGTAGGGTACATACTTAGGGAAAGGCGAGTTATTGGCAGTATATATTTAATCAGTTTGAGTAAATTATTAATTTACTGTAAACATTAATTT